GTATTCAAGTCCGCAGGAACTGATAACATGAATCCTGGTGCGCCTGAGGCTGTTGTTGCAAAGGCACCGGTTTCTGAATATTAGAAATGGAAAAAATAAGGGGTCCGTCCTTATAAAAGATAAAGGGGAGACCCTGGCAATTACAGATTACAGATTAAATCATAGCCATGTTTAGAGCTGGAAGGTGTCTTATTATCCTTGGTCCCAGGCAGTGGGCGGAGGGGCCAGGGTGAGCAGAAGAGTAATAGGAAGACAGTCATCAGCTCTAAGGAAATGGGAGTGTAAGCCAAAGAGCATATAAGCCATTCCAGGGGGCGAAATCAGAAATCCTCAAAAATCCTCCTAGTTCTGATGGGGGAGAGTAGAAAGCAGAAAGGTCTGGGGGAAGATTAGGGTTAAGGGCAGGGGGATGGGGAGAGGCCAGGATTATTTACAGGGCAGCATTAGGACAACCACATTAGGAGAGAAGCTTAGGCTTCAACCAATGACAATTTTCTTCATGCAAAGAATCATCCATTGGCACCTTTTGACCAATAATTCTATTACTAGGTGATGGGAATATAAAAACTATAATAAAAGATTGACCTTGTCCTCAAAAATAAAAAGAATCATCCAAAGTCAGCATCATTTTATGGCGGTACTATGTAACCTAGAGGAATCAGGACATGGTGAGTAGGGCTGCATTCGGAGCCCGAAAAAACTGGACTCAATCTTACCTCTGTCAAAAACTAGCTGTGCCACCATAAGGAAATTACTTAACTTCTCTGTGCCTCTGGCAGACAGCTTCTCTCAATTTATCTGTTAAGTTATAGACGGGAAATAATCATGGATGTTCATATATTAGAGCAGCCGATGCCCAATACTCTCCCCAATAATGGCAACATAGCTGTGGGTTCAGAGAGAAGAGATCTTAGAGATTATTTGGTCCAGAACCTTCGTTTGTGTCACAGACTCTTTGGCCAACTGGTAAAACCTGCAGGGCCCTTCTCAGAATAACGATTTTAAATGCATAAAATAAAATACAGAAGATTAAAAAGAGGGAATGATCATACTGAGATAATGATGTACTTTTTCTCATCTAAGTTAACGGAGCCCCTGAAATCTAGGCTAGGTATGATCTTTGGGAGTCAATTAATCCCATGTGAAGGACCCCAGATAAAATCTAAGCATCCCTTTTTCTATATGAAATAAAATGAGGTCCAGAGAGGTCAAATTAGTGCCATGCTGTGGTCAGAGAAGTATCAGGACTTTGACCAAGGCAGGTAAGCTATGCCCATCTGAATCAATACTGTATTCTTGCTGCATAGCCTTTCCCTGCTATGGTTAAATACGCCTTCTTCTGTTGACTATCAGATGTTGTACAAGTGTGGCAGTCTCACATCTGAATTAGCAGCCGGTCCTGAGCCATGCCTGACCCACAACACACGCCTACGGTCACACTGATACTTTGTAATGGAGAGACGAGTGAGAATCAGAATTTCCCAACTCCTGGCTCAATTCCCTTTGCTCTCTGCTACGATGCTTGTTCAGCTGAGCCGGAGGAACACGCTCAAAGAGATCTTCAACTAATCAATTTTTAGCTCCCTCGAACAACACGAGGCATGAGGACGCCTCCAACTTGGCTCTGTGAAGAACACGTTGTGCCAGACCTATTTAATTTCCTTCTACGAGAGAGTGACAGACAGATACCAGGAAGTAATAGATGCAATCTCTCCGAAATTGCTAGTCTTTCTCTTCTGTCCCCCAAGACTTTCTCATCTAGAAACTGATGCTATTCGGGCAGAATCAGCACTTCTCAGAATGGGGGCTTTGGGAAGGAGGGGAGGATAAAAGCCAGAAAGCTGCCCACCATATTGTAGAAATGGGGAAGAGGGGAGGAGGAGGAAGAAGGTTCACAGGAAAGAGATCAAAGGCAATTGAGTTCAATACTGCTCTACGGTAAACACAAGGGAGAGATGAACAGTCCATGCCAAAGGGTCAAGGAATCTGAGATCGTGCTGTTTGCCAGGAAAAGTTCTATCTGTCCTCTAATCTACTGGTCTCCAAAACAAAGTGGGTGGGGCTTGGCCCCTGTTGTATGATCAATCCATCAATCAAAGTGTGGCAAGATGGCTAGTATCCATCACTCACCCACAATAGCCAATCGTGGGTCTTTTCTCCAAAACAGTCACACTTATATTTCACCCATTACAGCCCAATACTCTTCCACTCACTCCACTCTCTGTTGATGATGTGCAAGTAACCAACTTACCCTCCTCTGAACCCAGCTTGACCCTTGAGATCAATTGTAACCTAACCCAGAGTGGGCATTCTCAGTAGCAGAAGAGGCACCACCAGGAGAATGCTCCAGTGGGAAGGATTAAAAAAAGACCCTAACTATGCCCTGGCTAGCTAGGAGATTTGGACACTATGAGATGCTTAGATAGTGTGGGTTTTAAATGAAAATGAAATATCTATTTCAGCCATCCCATAAAGTTGTCTTTACCATTCAGGAGAGGGCAACGTGTGATGTGCTGCTGTTTTCATGGGATCATGGGTTTAGTGATGGAAAGGACATATTTCTGCGTTTGTCAGTGCATGCTAATGAGTCTTCTGTGTTTTATGCATTTTCAGTGACAGGCATAAACATCTGTCTTGTACCTAATACTCCTATTTATATTTATACATGTATATGTATATGTAGAAATATAATATATATGTGTATTGTATTTATATATCAAAAGTACTGAAGTATTGACCACTTTTATTATTTCTCGCTCACTTTTGGTGAGGTCTTAGATATGAGTCACCCTTAAACTTTGTTTTAGAGATTCCTTCAGATTCTCTCTGGGATCAGGCCAACAATCTGAGAGTGGGAGAAATACATCCCCCTCCTTCAAAGTCAAGCCCCACTTTGTCTTTAGCAGAGGGTAAAGGGTAATATCTGAGGTTAAGTGATTTGTCCAAGGTCATACAGTCCATGTGAATTCAGTTCAACAAATTTTGTTGAGTAATGTTCACTGGCAAAGTAACTAAGACTTCATTAATCGAGAACAATAAATATTTAAATGTATAGGCAACTAATAGAATTTGAACAGGAGAATATTAAGGTTAGAAAGTCAGATCAATAATTCACCACAGAAACAAAGAGATTAAGGGTCCTAGGCCACCATTTAGAATACAAGTAGACAGATAAAAAATGGCTCAGGCACCTAGGTCTTTAAAAGATACTTATTTAAATAAAACAAATCTGACACACATAGGATTTTTGGTTATGTACAGTTCAGTCACTGACAATCTATGCAATCCCACAGTGGGATTATTTATTTAAAGCATAAAAGAAGAGAAAAGGAATAAAAGGACAGGACAAGAAAGGGGAGGGGAGGGGAGGAGAAGGAAGAGGGAGGGAAGGAGAAAAGAGAAGAGAAGAGAAGAGAAGAGAAGAGAAGAGAAGAGAAGAGAGAAGAGAAGAGAAGAGAAGAGAAGAGAAGAGAAGAGAAGAGAAGAGAAGAGAAGAGAAGAGAAGAGAAGAGAAAGAAAAGAAAAGCCATAGTGGAGACACATATTGGGAGTAGGCCTAGAGAGGAAAGTGGGTCAAAGCTGAACAATCCACCTATGCCCTATGGGTTCCATGTAGGACCCAAAGGCTCCCCTAACCTAACCAACTTTTATGATCCTGGTAATGCTTTGTTATACCATTAAGAAGGGTTACCTTAAGGTAAAGTAATGGAGGTTCCATTGATGTTCCACAAAAGACCAAGAAGAAGAGATTAAAATGAAAAATACCAATTCCTTTAACTCTTAGCAAAGACTGAGACTCACTCCTACCCACTCAATCCATGAAAGCCCAAGAGAAGATGATCTATTTGTGCAGTAAAAAGAGTTAACATAAGATAATGAAGGTCAAAGGTCCTATTGATTTTGCTATATCGTTAAGGAGAATCAGGCTTTGACCAGAAAACGGCAGGCATTATATTTTAGTTAACACATGGAATGTACGATCCTTGAGGGCAAGGACTATTTCATTTTTGTCTTTATACCCCCCAAAGTCTAACTCAGTACCTTCATCACTGTCTCCACAAACTCATCTTCATACAAGATTGAATCAATTCTGAGACTCACCTCTTCTCATATGGGCTACCTCTGATTTGAGAGGGTGGAAAGGAGACAGAGGAGATCTCCCTCTACATCCTCCACTTAAGGAAGGTGCCCAGGGCACAACCCTGCTTTAAGACTTCAATATGCTGCCACATAGAGTATCCTTCCCTTCCTCTCCCACCCTCAGTTTTTCAGCTTCTTTTATGTATTGCTTTCCTCCATTAGATTGTGAGCTTCTTGAGGGCAAGGACTATCTTTTGCTTTTCTTTTATCCCCAGGGTTTACTTAGCACAGTGCCTGGCATATATAATAAATGCTTGTTGACTGACTGACTACCTGGTACTTAGTTGATGGCTAATACATGCTTACTGACTGTTACTTACTACCCAAAAGCATCTTTTTCTCCTGCCAAAACAAACCCAAGAACTATATAAACAAAATTATTTTTAAAAACTTTTTATACAAATAAAATCGGATTTAAATAACTGGAGAAATATGGGTAGGCAAGGCCAATATAGTGAGAAACTCTCTTGACTGTGATATTCCCAAATCACAAGTTTGCTTATAATCCAAATGGTCGTTTGAGCATTCTAGAATCTAGCTCATCTAAGGAAGACAGTAAGAGTATTTCAGTTCTAGAAGGATCACTTTAGGGATCATTAAGTAGAAAAGATTAATGTTGAAATTCTTCACAGAAATTTCAGAAAGGCAAGACCTCCTGAGTTACATAGACTACGGGGAATGGACCTGCCATTTTCTTGCCAAAGGTTTACTCTCCCTAGTGATATAACCAGCTCAATGGGTCACTTTAAAATGGCCTTTTTCTGTGATGTAACAAAGTATGAACAAGGGCTACCCTTTTTGGGGTCATCAAAATTTGGGTAAGGGAGGCAAGCAACCTTGCCTTTGATTTAGAGCTTTTAAAGGAGTTAATGCCATTTGGTCCCTTAAGGAAGAGCATTATCCATGTAACCAACTGTGGGAGTGGAGTAGTAAAAACCCCTAAAAAAACCGATTGAAACTGGAGGATCCATCTTTCCCTCTCTCCTGATTTGTGTGAGTCCTTCTTATGTGTTAATGACTCAGGTTTTTTTTAGAAAGAATCTCAGTGCATTCCTAACCCTTGCTTTTCATTTTATTGGCCCAGTACTTGCTAATTTTCTCTCTTAATTATGTGTTTGTACCTTTGAATGTTGGACCTGATTTGGGGGCTTTGCAGTTCAGATCTCATTATTCTATGACTGAATCATCCGGCACTCACATACTGAAGCATAATCTGTGTTCCGTATTTGCTACCACCAATAAGTACCTGGCTGCCCTAACCTCATTTGATTGGATTATAATCTAAGAGAAGGTAAAAAAAAAATGCTTAGGCAGCAAACCTGATTAATGATCTACTATGCAGATCCAAATCCCATGGAAAAAAAATCTCCCAACAATTTTAAAGATAAAGAACTAAATATGCTTCTGTCTGAAAGTCTGCTAATGCATTCTCAGCTGAACCATGGGAGGTGTTACCCTTGGGCCTATGTTTATAAATGTGTTGACTAGGAAAACAAACAGCACCCCTCTCTCAAGTAAGAGAGTAGTGTTCCCTGGCAACTTCGAGGTCACAGACCTTAACTAGCCAAAGTAGGCTGTGTAACTAGCTTTCTATGGGATACAGGCCCACAAGGGATGCTAGCACGTTTAGTGGCACTCAGGCAACCCTCCCTGAGCTTTGCTAATTTTGTGAGTTCTGAAGTCTCTCAGCTTAAGAGGACCCCTTTGGAGGGCGGGTGTTGCCATAAAAGAATCAGTTCTCAGGACAGTGTAATACAATAGTGACAAGAAGTCTCCTTTCTTGCCTGCTTTCCTCCCTAGAGTGACTAGGAGTTATAGGTCTCCTGCCTTCTGGCTTCTGAGGTGGACACATAAATAAGCTGCATCTCTGTCCTTCTTTCTTCTCCACTGGTCCCTTGGCCCTCAGTTTCTAAGCAACATGCCCTGGTGTTCACAGGGACTGAACTCAAAACAAAGCTGAATCTTCTGAAAAAGGACATCAGGGAATTTGGAAAATCCTCAAAAGTTCCCTCAAGCTCTCTACATGAACTCCCAAAGAGCATTTCCTTTCAAGGGCCTTCCATAGTCCACCTGAATTAAAACACCACAGAATGACTCGGAAGGGTCCTCCATTCCTGCTTAAGAGCAAACCTCTGATCCCCAACTCTTGCCAGGTTTTCCTCCCTTTTAGCTTCTGTCCCCTTTTGGTCCCTAGAGAAGCAAATAGTCTGATTTCAAGAGGCCAGAAGCACGTCCATCAACACACACCAGAAGGCTAAGTGGGCAGAATGTAGCTTAATTGGAAAGGAGACATGGAGAATACTTTATCAAGTAGCCTTGTAGCCTGACCTAGCTATTAGGTGATGGTATAATCCATTATTGAAGCATTGAACTTTTCCATGGCTCAGATTTCCCATCTGTAAAGAAATTATTATTCTTTGGTGAATGGATAAGTAATAACAAAGGACCCCAGAGGTCATCTTGTTCAACCCTTTCATTTTACAGATAAGGAAATTGAGGCCCAGGGAGATTTAGTGAGTGACTTGGCCAAAGTCACATAGGTAATACACCTGGCATTTGAACCCAAGTCTTCAAATTCCAGAGTTGGCATCCTTTTCACCGTACCATAATGTATGACTGTCTTTATAGAACTTAAAGGGGTATCTTTGGGGAAATGTAAGGAAGGTCAGTCACTGTGGAGTGATGTTAGTACTTCAGCATAGTATAGTGATCATCAGATTCCCAGGTCAATCACATAGGGTATTGGTATTATACCAAGGCCCTGGAAGGAACTTTCTGAAAGGAAGATAGGATTCTAGATTTGATCTATGCTTCTAGCTTCAGCTTGTCAAAAGCCAAATGTGCTTGCAGGGGGAAAAAAAGGATCATTGGATCATAGAATTAAGGTTAGAAGGGACCTCAGATATGGTTATCTCTACCCTTTACATTTTGTAGATAAGGAAATTGAAGCCCAGAAATAATGATTTGCCCAAAGTCACACCTGTAATAAGGGACAAAGCCTAGATTCAAAACTAGGTCTCCTGATTTCAAATCCGCTGCACCAGTCTTAGCTCAGTACCAGTCAATTACTCTGTCTAGTCTAGATAAGGACTCAGTGTTTCTTTCAAAAAAAAAATAACTTTTAAAGCATTAATACATTTAATAACTTTTTGTGTGTCATTGTATTTTTTGCTCCTTTGGTTAAAATTAGTATACCCTTTTCTAAAGATCCATAATTTACTTGAGATTATGGAGAAGGAAGATAGGAGGTGCAGAAAGAGGCATTTAAGATGGCAGCATTGGGGAGTACAGCAGCTGGCTGGCCATTTTATTAGTCCATTTGACTCTTTCACCAACAAAGAAGACTGGGCAAACAGCATGAGTGAATAGAGGGACAAGGGGAAAGATGGCAAGGTTTGCAACTGCAACCTCAGTGTTCTCTTGGACTCCTCACTTTCTCACCCCATATGTCCAATCAGTTGCCAAATCTTGCCATTTCTCTTTTCACTTCTCTTGGATCTGTTCACACAGCCACCACCTGAGTTTATTTAGATCTTCATTACCTATTACCTAGACTACTTCCACAGCCTCCTAATTAGCCTCACAGCCTCATCTCTCTCCAGGCCAGTTCATCCTTCACACCACCCTACCGTCACTAAAGTGATTTTCGGTAAATTCAGGTCTGACCATGTCACTGTCACACTCAGTGAAATCCAGTGGCTCCTTATTGCTTCTGGGACTAAAATATAAATGCCTCTATGTGGTTTTTAAAGCCCTTCACCGTGTGCCCCCAACCTACCTTTCCAGCTTCATTCATGACTCCCCAAACCCTTTGGCAGACTGGTGACACCTATGGACCCCTTATCAGAATAATGTTTTTTGCCTTCATTCATAATTGAAGAAAATGCTAAATATCAGATAGAGATTAGTGAAATAAGAAAGTAATTTTCTTCTCATGTATATTCATAGACTCCCCCCAAAAAAATCTATCCACAGACCCCTTGGAGGTCTGAGGACCCAAGTTAAGAATCCCTGTTCTAAGGTCTAGCCAAAGTGGTCTTGCTCTTCCTCACACATAACAATGCACCTCCCCACCTCATCCCTGCGGCTTTGCAATGGCTTTCCCCCATGCTTAGAATATACTCCTTCTTCACCTCTACCTCAAAGAATCCCCTACTTCCTTCAAGACACAGCTGAAGGACTACTTTCTACAGAAAACTTATCTGATTCTGTCCAGCTGCTTACTTACGATGTGTGAGTGTGTGTGTGAGTGAATGTGGGTATATGAGTGTGTTGTCTCCTCCATCTCAAGAGGGAGGACTGTTTTATTTGTGTCTTTGTATCCCCAGTGCCTGGAACATAGAAATATCTGTTGATTAATTTTGTCGCATGGCTTCACTGCCATGGGAGGACAGAGATTCACAGTGGATCATAGGGTCATAGAGCTGGAAAGAATCACAGATGTCATGTAATTCAACATCCTTACCCTCAGATGAAAAAAAAAACTGAGACCCAGGTTTAATGACTTGTCCAAGCTCACACAAGTAGTAAGTATCTGATGTAGGATTCAAAGCCAGATGTTTTCTTCTTCCAGAGTTCATGCTCTTTTCAGGTCACCGCATTGCCAAGACTGAGGTTCAAATACCCAAATACAAGTACTTACTAGCTGTATGACTCTAGGCAAGTCACATAACTTCTCTCCGCCTCTGTTTCCTCCTCTGTAAAATGAGAGAATGGACACCATGGCTTCCAAGGTCCTGTCTGGCTCTAGATCTTTGATCTCATGAATAGGAAAATATTTGGAAAGCAATTTAAAATATTTATAACGGCTCTTTTTGTAGTGGCTAAGAATTAGAAATTGAGAGGATGCCCATCAATTGGGGAATGGATGAGTAAGTTGTGGTATATGATTGTAAGGGAATATAATTGTGCTGTAAGAAATGATGAACAGGCTGACTTCAGAAAAACCTGAACAGACTTATATGAATTGGTGCAAAGTGAAGCGAGCAGAATTAGGAGACAATTATACACAGTAACAGCAACACTAAATGATGAACAACTTTGAATGACTTAACTATTCTCAGCAATTCAATGATCCAAGACAATCCCAAAGGACTCATGACAAAAAATACTATCCTTCTGACATCTGAATTGAAGACTGAAGCATACTATTTTCACTTTCTTTCTTTCTTTTTTTGTTCAAGTTTTTTCCCACAAAATAACTAATATGGAAATGTTTTACATGATTACACATGTATAACCTATATCGGATTGCTTACTGTCTTAAGGAGGGAGGAGAAGGAGGAAGGGATAGAGTTTGGGACCCAAAACTTAACAGCAAATGTTAAAAATAGTTTTTTTACATGCAATTGGGAAAAAATAAGAAAGGAAGAAAGAAAGGAAGAAAGAAAGAAAGAAAGAAAGAAAGAAAGAAAGAAAGAAAGAAAGAAAGAAAGAAAGAAAGAAAGAAAGAAAGAAAGAAAGAAAGAAAGAAAGAAAGAAAGAAAGAAAGAAAAAGAAAATTGAGCTCTTCTAAAAGGTTATCTCCTAGAAAAGAACAATGCATTGCCTGGAGCCTAAAACTCCTCTGCTGAGACACTCAAGTCTTTTTGTCTCTAGAAGCTTTTCACTTCTTACCTGGTTTAAAATATTTACTTCCTCTACCAATGCCTTCTGAGAGTTTCTTTGATGATCAAAATGAAATATCTTTGTGTGAAAGATCCCTTAATCTCATATAGATATAAATGTTCTATACCTTCTGGGAGACACCTAACACCTTAATGTTCCAAAATTAATCTTGTTAAAGAGGGCCACCTTTAATTCTTACTGCTCTTTGCTAAGAATTCAGGGAGGGAACAATCACTTATTATGTGCAAAACACTGTGGTGATCACTTTACAACTATTATCTGATTTGATTCAGCATCCTAGCATACCTCTTCTTTCCCGCTGATACAGGACACCCCACCTACACCATCAGCATTAGCTACTCTTTGAAGTTTACAAGAGGCTATAT